GAGGATCAGGGTTTGGAATGCGAGTTTGTTTTTTGGATGTCAGGTGAGACGCAGCTCTGAGCGTGCTCTGCTCAGCATCACCATGGCTCAATTAGCTTTAACACTGTTGTGGGCATACCTTGCAAACCCACCGGCTGATTTTATTTGCACAGGAGGCCAGGTGGAATAAAATGACAGGCTGGCACGGCAAAACAAGCTGGACACCCTTTGAATCCCACTGGGTGAGGAGGAAAACCTAAATTAACACCTCCTTCCAAGCTCTCAGACACACAGGTCTCTTCCACAGAAAATCAGCATGTGCATTTTCCAGGGAAAAACGGAGGATCGATAGGAAAACACTTAGATTTCAATTGACTTGCTGTCCAAAGTGGTATTTGAGTCCCTCTTGCATTCGTTCAGGCAGAACATGATGGTGTGTCTCTGGATAATTTTCCACCTGCCTGTTTTGAATATCAAATGGAATCATTTAGCTGGTGAGCTGGAACGCTGCCAGATTTCACAGGAGCCTTTTCTCCCGACTTCTGCTGCTTTTGTAACTACTTAGACAGAATAATCTGAGCATGCTCCCGGCTGGCACAGGGCAAATGCTGAGCAACACAACACCAGTTGACTCTTCCACTCTTTGTGTGTCAACACAATTCTGCAGTTAATGTCAAGCAACAAGCTATTAGGGACTCATTTAACTGTAATTCACAGGTTTTCAAAGGGCCAGAAGGATATTTCATGTCATCAGAAGGACACTGATCCATCAGCAAAGTTATTTCAGACACTGAAAAAATACCATTTCGCACAATGGTTTCACACCATTTTCTTGCTGGATTTTTTTTTTCTGCAGTGCATCCCAGTGTGCATGACAACCGAATTGCTGAAAGCTTCTTACTCTGTTAAGCATCCTCTAATAGGGTGGAAGTGGGGGTTAATTCAGCAGGTAATGTGTTGCTTTGAAGTTGCTGGATCTATTAAGTGTTTTGCTGTATATATATAAGTGCATTGGATACAGCTGGAATACTGATGTCAGGATCCTGCCAGGCTCATCTCTTCCTTCCCTGTGCAGTTTGATTGGCATTAATCCCGAGGAAGGTGGGAGTGGTGCTGGTACTGTTCTCCCAAGTGGAAAATGAATATGGTCAGCCCCATCCTCACATGTGGTTGGTATCTCCAGAGCACAAGAATTTGTTAGCTTAAAGCTTTTCTCTAAATGGGTGACAACTCTTCTCTGATAAGCTGTGGCTGCCCTACATGTGAGACCTCAGACAGCAAATAAACAGTGCTGGCATCAGATAATTTTGTTTAGAATGCTGTGGCCTTAGAAGTGCCCTATCTTTTGAAATGTAATGTTTTTTTCATGGGTTGTTTACATCTCTCTGCAGTGACTTCATGTCACCTCGTAGTTCTTCAGTGTCTATGGAAGCTTCAACTGCTGATCCTAGAAAGTATTTACAAGACTGGGTTTTTTTTCTTGGGCTTTTGGGGGATGATTTATATTTAATACTCATGCTTCAAAAACATCCACTGGAGTGCTGATGGGCAAACCAGAGCTTGCGGTCATTAGAGATGTAACATTTCTGGAGAGGGCTTGACTTGGTGGTGTGCTCTGAGGGAGAACGCTGTGGTCAGTAAAATCCAACTGGGAAACAACACAGATGTCCTCATGCTCAAAGTGTAAACCCTCATGTCAGTGGGTGCCAAAGCACTCTGGAGATTTCTGCTCACCCCCTTGGAAACAGGGGCTGGAAACTGGGAAGATCACGACCTTTTGCAGTGTGAGGGAAGGCAAACTGTGATTTGTGCTGGAAGCCTCCAGTGCTCAGGAAGCTCTTGAGCAAACAGGACTGAAGCTGGCTGTGTGAAATCACAGAGCATGCCGAGTGTGGAAGAGAAAGCACCGAAAAGCTGAGAGTTTTGAAACTGTTTATCCAAGTTTCTTGCGTGGCCCCTCTTATCACAGCATCGCAGCACCTCCCAGATGGTTCATATGTTTTATCTTCTTGCCAACACCCTCACAGGGTTCCTATCCCTATTTTACAGTTAGGAGACCCAAGTGGAGGTGCTGAGTGATATGCCCAGTGGCACTTGGGGTTTCTGTGGCAGATCAAGGAATGAAGCTCAACTTTCCCATGCCCCAGGCTAACTCCTAAACCCCGTGGGATCCTCCTGGAAATGAGCAGAAGGGCTTAGTAAAACACAGCAGCATGTGGAAATAATGCTCAAATGCACTATAGGGGAGCTCATCCTGGATTTCCTAAGTGTAGGCATTTCAATCTTGGTCTTTGGGAGCAGGGAGATGCTGCACTGTGGGGTGGTGACAGTGGCCCTTGAATGAGCAGACTAGGGCTGCAATCAAGAAAGGTTCATTATTCCCCACTAACAAAGAATTATAGCACCATGCTGACCAGGCTGTGCCACTTTGGGGGATGAAATGAGCTGCTGGGTGTGTGGCTCTTGCTGTCCTGAACTGGGATTTCAGGATCTCTCATCAACTCAGGCCAGAGCTGCATCTCCTTGGCTGCTGTCAGGTCAGTGGATTCTCCAGAGCTGTTTGCCCTTAAGAAGGTTCTAGCCCAGGAATCTGTTTTGCAAAAGTTCACTTCAGGATGGAACTAGCAGACTTTGATCTTATTACTTGAAGATTTCAATTACTTGAAATTACTTGAGTTATGCTGAGCTCTCAACTCCTCCTTTGCTATCCCGCTCACTTCTCTTGATCCCTGCTTTTCCCATTTCTTTATCCTAAAAAAAAATGTTTTAGAATCACAAAATACTGGTGCAGGGGAATGAATAATATAGGGAGAGTTATTATTTAGGGTGTCCAGACTATTACCTAATAATCAGTCACTTCATTCACTGATAATGTTTAAACTATTTAAAACAGCAGCACCTGATAAATGCTACTAAATAGTGCCATGCCCATAACTTGATTGCAATAATCCATCAGGGAGTGTGTTTCAAAATGCCAACATTTATCAGCAATTACCTGGAAAACTAGTTCTTAGCAGGAGTGTTGGCATAATTCAGTGTTTGAGACACTGCTGGTGTGTTGGATGCTGATTCTAAACAGTGACTGCACTTTCTTACTCCGGGCTGTATCTGTGTCCAAAGGCCCTTTTAGGAGGTCAGAGTGACATAAATAATGATTAAACACGCAGGCAGGCTCAGACTGAAGCCTATGGCTTTGTCCAGGAAGGCAGGTGAGGCTGCAGGATGAAAGGAAGGTGCAGATGAGCACAGGAGGCAGCAATCCCTGCTGGCTGCCTGCCTGCTCCTCACTCCTCTCCACGGAGGTTTCGCTGAACAGGCGAGCTGGGAATGCTGTCAGCTCCTCAAAACCTTGGTTTCTGAGTGCTTGCTCTCCCATGCACACTCAGCAAGTTTCCAGCATGAGCCAAAAAAAAGTCTTTCATTGTCACTGCAAGGCAGCAGCGCATCCCAAAGTCCTCATCTAGGAAGATCCCAGATGAGTGTCTCATTTGCATGTCTAACAAAGCCTTGGGTAATCACCAGGAGGACGCTGGACTCAGTTGAAAGACTTGGACGATAGCAGCAGGTATTTGGAAAGAGGCATCAGTGCAGGGTGATTCCTTGATGTGCCTCAGATCTGAGTTTGTGTGCTTGTCTTGCAAAAGGATGTTGCAGCAGCTTCACGAGGCATCTGGAAATTCCAGATTTTTGTGGAAGGCATGGGACTGGGAGCTGGGAGGTCTGGGACACCCAAAAGCTTGTTTTCTCAAGCACTCTTCAGTAGCAAAAGCAGTGTCAGGAGTGCAGGGTCTTGCCCATGGGGCAGCAGAGAAGAGGAATAACCAGGGGCTGCTCACACAGTGGAGATCACCAAGGGCCATCCCCAGTCCAGGATGCTGCAACTTTCCTATGACACTAAGCAGAGTCCTTAGAAGATTTCCTCTCAACAGAACCTGCCCCAGTCTCACAAAGGTAAAGTAGGGAATGATCTACATCTTTCTAGGGACTGTAAAGCAGTCTCTGGCTGCAGAATCACCTGTGGGCGTGTGTGGCAGCAGAGGACTTGAACAGGCTGACTCTGACCTTGAGATGCAAATGAAAATCAGCAAAGAAGTTGGGTTAAGGCTTCTGGAATATGTGGAGATGAGCAGACTGCAGCCCTCATAAAGAAAGACCCCTTTTTCTGAAGCTCCACAAAGCATATTTTCACCTGAAGCACCATAATCTTTATTTCCTCCCAACCCTCTTATTTTTTTTAAGTCTCACAAGTTACAGGTATGCTTTTACTTTTACCTGACACTGTGTATCACTGGTAACTCATTCCTTAGTCCCAAGGTGACTGCTCACATCTGGGTCAGGTCATTCTCTGTGTGTGGAGGTGACAGTGGTGTGGCCAGGAAACTCTCTGGACTTAATTTCCTGCCATTCCCCCTCACTTGGAAGTGTTACATCCTCCAGGCTGATCAGTGGACCCCAGCACAGATGTTCTTAGCTTCACAGACACATTTTTCACACCTCAGACCACCTAATTCCCAACCATATGTTGCTTGTGCTTACTTTTCCTGATAAAATATCTCCCCAGTTTCTCTGTCCATTTTTGTTATCTCTCCTGACTATTGAACTCTGAGGAAAGTCAAAGGGAGAAGTCCCATGGGTGGCTGAAAATACTTTTAATTTTGGCTGAAAATCCTTTTTAATTTTGATTTGCATCTCAACTGGACAGGTAGCAATCTTTAGAAACAGGAATGTGCCTTCTGCAACATCCCAGCCCTTCCAAAACAAAACTGAAGGACTGAAAAAATTTGGGCAGCTCTTCATTTGTGAACCCTTCCATTTACTTTCACTAAAATATGAACATTTTCTGTAAGAGAACCTTACTTTGCAAGTTTTTCAGGCAATGTCATGATGTGCTGGGAACGAGTATGGAATCAAAAAATCACAGAATGGTTTGTGTCAGAAAGGACCTTAAAAAATTATCTAATTCTAACCCCACTGTTCTTTGTTGTGCTGTTTGTGTGCTGAACTGTTCCTCTCCTTTGCAGACTAAAAACTCTTCCATGGAGCAGAAAGATGACAACTGGGCTGGGAATCCCCACCTTTTCTCAGAAAAACTCCTGCTCTTTCATCACCTCACAGGCTGATTTCATAAGGGATTAATCTGACTTGAGCTATGCCCTCCTGGCAGTGGGAATCCTCTATTTCCATTATGTGTGAAAATAAGCATTTCTGGGGGGACTGATTTGAAGCAGGCATTGAATCCTCCTCCTTCTGAAGGCAACTTTAATAAATAACAGGGTATGAACACAAATTGCTGAGTGCTTGTTGAAGAACAACTGGAGAAATCCCTTTAGAAAGCCAAACTGCTGCCATGGGTTTCACTTGGAGCTGCTGCTGGCCCCATAGTGTGGGGCTGTGAGTTCAGCTGAGAGCAAGTGTGGCTTCATCATGAGGTAGCTTGCCTGGGGGACACTTCAAAACCCTGCGAGCTGACAATTTCCACAGCTGATTGTGCTTGCTGAGCTGCTGCCCTGTGTGTGCTCAGCGTCACCAGACCAAGGGAATGGCAGCTGTAGAGCACAGCACAGGCTCCTCTCCCTTTCCTGCACTCCCCAAGCAGGAGAGGAGTTCATTTATTATGATATAGTCTATATTTTCCCTCTTCCCAAAGCACCTCGCTCAGCGGGAAGTTGCCATAGCCCTGGAAACTCGTGGCCATTATAATTATCGTCGCTCAGTTGTGTGACATAATGTTCTTTTAGTAATCAAACCTTAGGCTGCTTTGGGCACTGTTGCCTGAGAATAATCATAGGTCGGTTTTTTAAGTGGCAGGAGCTTGATTCTGGGCTGGTGCCTCATCCTGAGCTATTGCTGATTCCGTGGATTTGCTGCACAGGCTCCGCAGGGTGTAATCGCCGGCGCTTTGTGGCAGGCTGGCAGCTCTCTGCTGTGCCAGGTGCCTGTTTCCAACAAGAGTGGGGGTTTTTCTTGTTTTGTTTTGTTGTTTTTTGTTGTTTTTTTTTTGTTTTGTTTAGGTTTTTTTTTTTATTTTCAGAATGACTAAATAACCTGTAATCAGTATTAATTCCTTTGAATGCTCCAGAGCGAGTTATTGCTGATTGCTGCTGTCTGACCCTAGTTAAGTCCATTTCTAGAAAAAGCTTTGTGTGACTGTGTGTGTACAGCTGAAAGGAATGCAGCTTTCCCCTAATTACATACTGGTAATGCAAGAGGAGACATTTCTAGTTCTGCTTCTGAAAGTATTTCCTTTAAGCACTGATGAGCCAGTGATAGCAGTAGCCTCTGAAACCATTTTGAAAAGGAGAGACAAGGCAGGAACTAATAGAGTTTCATTACTCGAAGCCTTTGCATAGATTGTAGCAGCAATTGAGCCATCAGTAAGCCACTGGGGATAATATCTTTAAAATGCTCTGTATTTTAATAAGATTAAATTGATTCAGGTCTTTGCCAGCCTTTTCAAAGCCAGTGCTGTATGATGGTCAGTATTTCAGGCAGGTCTGCATTGGGAAACAAAAACTGAAGATTTATGTGTTTAAATTGAAGAATACCAACACTCCTTTTTTTTTTTTTGTACAATATACTTCCATAGATATATAAAAAATTCCCCCAATAAGCAAGTCACATTCTCTTATCAGCTATGCCTTTCTGATTTTTCTACAGCCTTTGTTCCCAGCTCTTTAATTTTATTTAGATCTCCTGTCAGAACTGTGAAGGCATTTCTTACTGTGGGTGCTGCAAATACAATGAATTTCTTGCAGGAGTGAGTTTAATTGTCAATACCATTTGTTACAGTATTAGTTAAGGAGCTGTGCATAAATCAAAAGGATTAACATGATCTCTTGGGTAGAATAGAGGGATAGAACATTATATTGCTCATGTATCATTGATGAAGAATATTCTCCCAACCTTTCATTTATAGAAATGAAAATGTATTTCCCCAAAGTGAGTTCTGTTCTGTGTTTTCAAACTGGTAACACAATTTTTACCATTTAATCATTAAAAACTGTGTTTAAATCAGCACTGTGTTTTCTTATGGGTAAATATTATTTTATTTAAATGTACTTGGGATGCTGTCTCAATGCATTTAACACTTCTAGAGTTGGGCGTTTCATTCATGAATTATTCTCTCCAAAGCAATTAGACGAAAGGAAAAGAATACAAATGAGTTTTTCGCTGTTCCTGAGCTGTGTCTTAGAGATAATCCTGTGTTAGCTCTGAGAGAAGGGCATTTGTGTGGACATTTCCTGAACCTCAGCTGACCTGTGGTAACTGCTACTCATTCATTACAGGGCAGAAATATCCTTGCATGTGCAGTCAGGAGTGAATATATTATCATGAGTAACCCCCTGGTTTAGCTGATCCAAAGGGTTAGGACACGACTTACTGTGGTCTTGGAGTACCTGTGTATGGAAGAAATTTCTAAGGGGAGGTGATGCTTCATGTCAGCAGGAAAGGTTACAATGGAAATGAGAGTCAATTAGAGCTGGAGGACTTGGAGCAAGGAAAGCAGCAGTTCAGGGACAAGTTGGACTTTCCATCTTCTAAGCCTTTATGTTGAGTGTGTGTATTTCCCTGGGGATGGGTCATAGCTCAGCCAGGAGTTATGGACTTGAGGCAGAAACTCTGATACATCTTGTGCAGAAGGTCAGACAAGGCAGTTGCTAAGATCTTCCTCGGCCCTTGAAGCCTAGATTCCAGTGAGAATTACTGCAGATTCACCCCAGCTGGGCTTGAACTTGGTTCAAACTTAAATTGCCAAATACTGCACATCTAAAATACCTTCTAAATGAAAAAGTGCATAGTAGAGTCACCCTACAGCTCATTTATAACACGACATATGATGCTGAAGTCTTGTTCTTTAGTCTGTTCCAGTTTATAGCGTGACTTTGGGGTTAAGCCATGGTGGGACTCAAGCTCCTGGTTCTGTCACAGGGTTTCTATTTGTTTTGGGATAAGCTTTTCACCTTGGCTTCACCTGGGTATTTATTTTCCCAGTATCCAACATGAAGCACTCTTGCCTCTTCCAACAGATGACCAACTGCATATAGACCACAGCTCAAGTAATTCCAACATATCCAGAGCTTCCGCAAGGCAGTAAAAATCCCCAGAAATGTATTTTCAGTCCTTCTGATTTTTGAGTGGCACAGAAGCTGGGCATTTTTTCACTGAATCTGGCTTTAATTTGCATAATCTCTGTAGTACAATTTGGTGATATTTCAGGCCCTAAAAATGACATGAATGGCACGCAAAATGTGCCTATATTTTTAAAGTAGCATTCAAAAATAACTCGTCATTAGGACTGTGTCCAAAAAAAACCCAGGATTTAAAAATATCTCTCTTTTAACGAGAGCAGATTGGCAGTAGCAGTGTTATAGGTTAGATTTGTGCCTGCGTGTCTCTGTGTGTGCCCTCCACGATTACCAGCCTTGGCTTTGTGAGACAACAGCAGGGACATGGTGCCCTCGGTCCTGTGGTGATTTTCTCCCTGTCTTGGAAACCCAAAGGTCTCTAGAGTCACCTTTGAAAGTTGCCTCAATAACAGCCTTGAAAACCTGAACCCCAGCAAAATCTCCCAAGCAGGGGCTCTGCTGCACCCACCACATGTCACATCCATGGAGAAGGCTCCTTTCTCACTGAATGGGTCCTGCTGTGCGTGGAAATATGCCCTCAAAAATCAAACCTTTCAGGTTACAGTACAGATGGAGACAGGATGAAAATGAATTTCAGCTTTCAAGTGACTTTATTCAGTCTCCTTGATTGACTCGCTGGTTTTAATACTGTAAATTGGGGGATTGTGTGTAATGCATTCATGCCGTCCTTGTCTGGAATGAAGCAGGAACATAATTTATGGGGATATTCTCATCTCAGCCTTTGAGGAATTAGCTTCAATTAACTCTGTTGGGAATTGCATGTGTCGGGTGTCAGAAAGCCATCAAGTTTTCTTTAGAAACGCCGGCTGCCGTGCGCGCCCCATTCTTTGGCTGTCTGATGGATTTAGCGGCTTTAGCGATGGATAAGGATTCAAAGCTTGGGAAACGCAGATCTGGGTGACCAAGTTTCAGAGGGTTAATGCCACGCACAGGTGATGGACAGGACTGTAGCTGAATGCATTGCAGGCTGCTATAATTTATATCCCTCCAGCACGGATGAGAGAGGGTTTGGGGAGGAGGCAGCAGCTTCTGAAGCCAGAGCGCTGAAAGAGCAAACACACCAGAAGACACAGGCTGTAAAATAAGATCTCTCTGGATAAATCTTTCTGACATCCATGAGAATCAGAAAGGACATTGATTTCAGGCTGAGTTTGGCCAGTGCTTCTGGATCTGAGATCTTTAGGCTGCAGTCTGCGTGTCTGTGTCTATTTGTCTGTGCTAAATTTGAGCCAAGCCCTAGAGAAAGCGGTGTGATAAGTGTGCGGGAGAGGGGTCCCAGCAGTCGGTGGTGCTGTGGCAGAGTTTGTTGTGGTGTTGTGTCACTCCTGAATCCTCCTCAACTTCAAGAGGCCTTGCCATTATGAGATGGACAACGAGAGGGAGGTGACTAAGTTAGACTTTTTTAGGGGAAAGGCTTTTAGGGGAAAAATAATGGCTTTGGAGAAAGAAGCCTTCTGGAAGAATACCTGACCTTCTTGCTATCTGCAAGAGAGGAGTGTGATGGGGAGCACTGCTCCTTGCCAGACACTGGAGATTCAGAGGGGCAGAAGCTCACCATTGGATCAAACCTGACCCTGGTGTGTCTCACACATGCAGTGCTGCTTCTCAGCCTCAGCAAGATGGGAAGGGCACACATCCTGCAGACTTCACTGGGCAGCTGTATCAAAATACAGCACCAGAGAGCCATGGGGCTCAAACAGCCCAAGCAGTGCCCCCTTCGCATCCCTTGCCAGTGATGACTCTGTAATTCCCCTGTCAGGCTCATTTCAAATCTGAGATGAGTGGTGGGTGCTTGTTTTCACTCTTAGCATACATTCCTCAGCACACTTCTAGTTTCTGTGCTAGTGGAGACAGAATCAGGCAAAGATGTCTGGTGCCTCTTGAAAGCCAAAAATCCTGCTCTGCCCCACACCCCAGGTTATCTCTTTATTATCAAGCAGCACTTGCCAGATCTGACTCTGAAGTCATTTTGCGTCGGGTGCTGGCGAACTGTTTCCCAGTGATGCACTTATATCTAAATGGCTAATTCTCTATCCACAGCTTATCCCAAAGATTAAAAACCCAACCAGGCTAGATCTGAGCAAATCCAAAGCAGGAATCCTAATCAGTTCTGTCGCTAGAAGTGCATTAGTGCAGCACTAGAGAGAGGGTGGCTTTCTTCCAGACGATACAACAATCACGGCTCATTTGGGCGGGGAATTTTTCTACCGCTGTGTATTGACACAAAGGAGCACTTAGCTTGATAATGCCTCCTGGCTGCTGCCACGATCTGAATATTAAGAACAAATTAAGGTGTAAGATTAAACTCTGGAAGTTGCTGCCTGCTCACTGTGAGACAGCAGTTGCATCTTTAGCTTTTTCACACCAAAATATTGGCTGTCAGCACTTGGTAGTTTAAAAATAAAAATTAAGCTCCTGCCTTACACAGGGAACAATTAGGATCTCAAGTCTCCTGTGATATTTCTTTGACAAAAATTTTGATCTGCATTTAAATCTGTTGTGGACCGTGGGCCCCATGAACTCAGGCTTGTCAGTGGTTTGCTCATGGAGGAGGGTCAATGTGGCAATACAGCAGCTTTCATAAATTGAAAGGCAGTTCAAAGTCTGTCACAGACAGAAAATCCCCAGAGGATGAGATGTAGGAGACACAAAAGTCTCCAGGCTGTATGGAGACCAAGTTAGTTTGGAGTTCTGCTTGCCTATTTGTCCAGTTCACATCATTAATGACAGCCGTAACTGCAGGGGGATGGATGCGTGGCTGGATTGCAGGAGGTGTCTCCTGGGTTACAGATGGCAAATC